GAGAGGAGCAGCCCTCGGGGGAGAGCAGAGGGCTTGTTCCTGGGCAAGGAGGAGGCTGGCAGCCTTGTTTCCACTCCACCTAACACCTCTCCCCCGCCAGCCACTTTCCAGAAAAGCCAGGCACTGCAGGTGGGTCTCTGGGTGCCTTGATACTGAGTAACAGTCAGCTCGTTCTGACATGAAGGTAAGGGGAGAATGGGAAGACCAGCTCTTCTTGTCAGACCAACTACCATGGGGGACTGCTGAGCACCCGCCCTCTCACACAGAACAGCTCCCTGAGCTATTCTAGAAGCAGCAGCACCCAGAACCCTGAAATTCCACATACTGCAAATATCTGACTGTCACTTCTGGGTGCCAGTTTACAGAATAACCACGGTTCATGGCTATGCGTATGCTGAATTTGATGGAAAAATGAAGAACCATAAGGATATTACTGTAGCTTTTAAATTCTGACATTGTCCTTCCTTAATTTTGGCAATAAAATCATGTTTCTTTTGTAAAATAATGGTAGTAATGAAGTAGAGTGGCTTTACTAATGCCTTTGTTTAAAAAAAACAAAAACCAAACAACCCTGGATCTCTTTTCAAAATTTCTTTCTTTGAAATTTATTTGGCTTACAAAATATGCCTGTATACTTGCTTGGTGAGATATATCACCATATGTATATAGTTTGCTTGGGTCAAATACTGATCAAGAAATTCAGATGCCTCCAAGGCATGTGAAAAAAGACATGTCCCCTTCGGGAATGATTAACTTAGCACAAAGAAGTCTTAAGATTTCTTTAGCAGATAAAAGGTATTTGACTAATGACCACAGCTTTATTTCCTGGATGCTGCTATAGTATTAAAAATAGTCCATCTGACTAGACAAATATTTAACCTTTCGGGCTATTTTAAATATAGCCTGGGCAAAGTGGGAAGACGGGTGGAGAGAGAGAGAGAAATATCATTGAAGAACATGGCCTAAGAAGTGCAGGTTTCTTTGTAGATGATTCTTTTACAAAAAGAAACAAAAAGCAAAAACTGTGTTCCGATTTCGATGGTTTAAAGGAGTTTTTGAGCTTGCTGCTTGATTTGCAGAATATCAAATAAAAATTGAAATATATTCAAGTGTGGTCCAAGCTTGAAATAATTTGTGGTGCTGCTTTTTTAGCATTTGATGAATACAGAAATATCAGCCAAAAGGACATCGAGGACAGCATAAAAGGAGAGTTATCTGGGCATTTTGAAGATTTACTGCTGGCCATAGGTAAGGCTTTGGGCGCTAATAGACTGAGCTACTTCACGCTTGTTTTGAGTCAATGTCAGCGTAAGCTCCCTTGGTGTGAGAGTTGCTGACGGCCTCTTTATGCTCCCTCCAGCCCCCAGCACAGTCAGATATGCTGGACAGATGATGTTAAATAGATACATGAAGATGTTATCTTTTTAAGACTTACTTTGCTTTATACATTTGTGTGTGACTTGTCATCTTTAGCTTGTGGACTCCTTGAGAGCTGAAATACTACATTTCTACTTGTGTTTTTATTGCGCCTGGTTGAAAACTGAGGCCTAAGCCAATTTGGTAATTCACCATATTTTGTTATTTTTGGAAGATGTCATTGGCCTCCCAAAGTTGAGTCAAGGTCAGAGCTATAGAGGTCAGACCTGGAGTTCTCCCTGTCCTGGGTTGAGTGAGGAGGAATATATCAAAAAGGAAGTCACTTTTAGGCTCGTCTATTCCTGGGTAGGCACCTGCATTAAGAAGCAGTCAGAAACAGTTAAACCAGCTGTCCGCCTTCTCAGCGAGGGCCCCAGAGTTTGTCCTTCTAGGCCTTGGAGGGCACCTCGTGAAAGGTGCAGAGGGATGAGAAGCAATTCAGAGACAGGGCAGGACCCTTGACCTTCTAGTCCAGAGTCAGGCCAGGACATCTTCAGTGTTAGTGCACACGCAGGGCTGTTCAGAACCCCAGACTGCTCCAATTTCAGGTGACTATAGGGCTTGCTGGAGGCTTCTTCTCCATTAGTGCTGGGGTAGGAATGCCCGTACTCCACACATCTTGTCATTCCCCCAATGAAGAGTAATTTCTAACATCCATTGTGGTACTTAATAGCATCTCTTGTGAGATAGATATGCAGATTGCTGTTGCCTTAAAGTAACCGCCTCTGGAGTGGAGCCTCTGATTCATTATTCAAATGTTAATTACCACCTCTGAAGGTGAAACTCCCAATTAGGGTACCTCAAATTTTATTTTTAAATGAACACTCATCTGGCACTTACCGTGGGCTAAATTCTTTACCAATGTTAACTCATTTAAGCCTCATAACAGTCTTATGCTGTTATGTATAGGACTATTCCTGTCCCCTTGGTAGAGATGGGGAACCTGGGACACAAAGGTTAGGTTCCTCCCCCAGGTCACAGGGGTAACCTGTACCGGTGGGGCTCCCTGGGGCAGCTGCCTCTCCCACCCTGTACCCCTCAAACTCCCTAACTTGGGAGCTGGGCTCCATAGTCTCCCCTGATGTGCTTCCTTTCTGTCATTTTAAAGGAAGTTACAGAAAATACTCTGGTTTAAGTTCCCATCCTAAGGGCTCCCTTCATGCCATTTCTGAGCCTCTTTTCAATGCCAAGAATAAGGCTCTTCATCCAAATTCTGGCTCCAAAAAAAGAATACTGTTGACTCTGATTGAGTTGCTAAAAGATAGGCCAAGACGGCCAAGAAAGGAAAAAACTTCTTTTCAATTAAAAGAAATGGAATTGAAACCAGTTCCCATAATTAGTTCTGAGAATGTTCCAGGGGCGATGATAATAGTCAATTAAATTCTTTCCACTTCATATTGTTAACCTTGAAATTAATTTTGCTGCTTTTGAAAAAATTTTGTTGAAATATATGAACTTACTCATTGAGCTAAGAAACATTCTTGGAAATATACATTAAGTTGTACATTAAATTTAACCTGTAAGAATACATTATTTTATAAAGTAAAAAAGGCTATAATTCAATGACTTTAAGGTTCAAAATATGTCACAATTTCATTTTATGTTTCAATCTGCCATTGAAATAAAACAATTTTGTTTTTTAAAACGTATATATTGAGGTTTAACTCACCATACGTTTTACCAATTCAAAGCATGCAATTCAGTGCTTCTAAGTGTACTCACAGAGTTTTGCAACCCTCACCACAATCACATTTAGGGCATTTTTATCAGTTCCATCAGAAACCTTGCACCCCTGGAAGTCACTCCCCATTCCTCTCCATCCTGTAGCCCTGCAGTTCTCAACCCCCGCCCATACCCTCAACCCCCACCCCCACCTCCCTGGCAGTGATAGCTACCCAGCTTCCTGTGGCTCCATTCCGGGTCTGCAGCCTGTTAGGAACCAGGCTACACAGCAGGAGGTGAGTGGTGGACAAGTGAGCAAAGCTTCATCTGTGTTTACAGCCGCTCCTCCATCACTTGTGTCACTGCCTGAGCTCCACCTCCTGTCAGGGAAGTGGCAGCACCAGGATGTCACAGGAACACAAACCCTACTGTAAACTGCTCGTGGGAGGGATCTAGGCTGTGTCCTCCTTATGAGAATCTAATGCCTGATGATCTGAGATGGAGATGTCATGTGCCTGAATTGTCTCGATCACCCCCCACTCTCACCATGTTCGTGGAATAACTGTCTTCCATGAAACCAGTCCCTGGTGCTAAAAAGGTTGGGGACCACTGCCCTAGCCCTGGCAGCCATCAGGCTACTTTTTTTCTATATAGATTTGCCTACTCTGGATATTTCATATAGAAGGAATCTAACACCATAATTAACACGTAGTTTTTGACATGAAAACTATCTGAGCTATATCATCTTAGAAATGTGTAATAGGAGCATTCTAGCTGTCAAAAAACAAATCCAGAGTCAGATAAGGAGAGGGTTTCTTCACAAAAAGGAGAACACTTTGATCTCAAAAGTGTGGCAGAGTCTCAAAATCAAACAGAAAACTCTCTCCTAGGGAGTGGTGAGCAGATCTTAGGAGAAAGTTTTTAGGCAAAGCCAGGTCAAAGGGTGGGGGGATGGAGAGGGAGGGAGGCGGCATATGTCCATTGAGGTTTAGCAGGAAATTGGTCTCGGTCTTGGCGTCTCAGGATGAGCTGATATGGGGCATGTTTTGCATATCAGGGCTTGCTCAGAACTGGGGCCATGTCAGAGTTCAGGGACCCACGGAAGGAGAGGGGCTGGAGGGAACTTTGGACAAGACAGTGGAGAGGGGGAATGGACAATAGTGAATGTGTGGCCCTGGTGTTTATTATCCCTAGTGGACTCCCCAGATGTCCTGCTCACGGTGTGGAGTGCTAAGAATAAGCCGCCTTTCCACAAAAACATGCCATCACCTCTAAAAATTTTCAGACATGAGGAACAAAACTGGTAGTTAAGAACATAAGGCAGAAGGCAAGCTCAAGGGGAGAATGGAGTATTAAAAAAAAAGGTCTAGTGGGGGAAAACTTAATAGGATAAAAATGGTCATGAAGGTTTTAGAATTATTAAGACTTGCTTAATATGAGCTTGAGAAAATTTTAGGTAGTACAATTTAAATGGTCGGTTTCTTGTTACACAACATCTTACAATTCTGTTCTAGCTGCCATGTTGAGTTTCTAACACTTTTCTTCTATTTCCCTTAAAACCTTTACACAAACCAAAAAAATCTTTTAGCTTTCCTTAGGAGTCTCTAAGCCAGGGGAGGGGGGAGGGGTGGGGGAGGGAGGGTAACTGGTGGGACCACACCTACGGTGCATCTTACAAGGGGACATGTGAAATTTACTAAATGTAGGATATAAATGTCTTAACACAATAAGAAAATGCCATGAAGGCTATGTTAACCAGTTTAGTAAAAATATTTCAAATTGTATATAAAACCAGCACATCGTACCCCATGATTGCATTAATATACACAGCTATGATTTAATTTAAAAAAAAAAAAGGAGTCTATGAGCCACCGTGAGAATGTCGCTTGTTTTTGTTCTGAGCTCCAAAATTTACTATGAAATCTATTTGAGTCAGATTCCTACCTACAGATCAGATTTAAGATTATAAAAATAATTGTGTTGCTGTAAATAGGTTTGTTCCCTACAGAGTTTTCTATTCCTGACTGTAGTATTCACTTCATTTAAAGAATAATTAATTTGCTCGTGTTTTTGTTGATTTCTTTTTCTTTATTTCTGCTTTACTTTTTATTTTTGAAATAAAGAATTGAAAGGCGTTAGTATTTTTTAGATTACAGAGTTCAGGTGACAGGTGCTAGTTCTCATGTAATTACTCTAACAGACTATAAATTCTAGTCCACTCATTTAAAAGAAAATCTTTGCATTGGAAAAAATTGCTTAAATACAAGTGCAGTGCCTGTTCCTGCCTACAGAGTTATTTGGGGCAGTATCTCTGCAGTCGTGAGACCTTAGCCGTTCGTTAGTGGCCAAACGTGGGAAACCGAGCCTTGGTTCCCCTCGGGAGCTCTCAGTGTGAGCGTAGGCGTTCTGTGTGTCTGGGATCTACAGATGACTCAGACGCTGTGGGAGTTTCTTTGGCAGGTAATTTTATTTTCCCCATGGCTGAAGATAATTACTATGCTAAAGTTCTGTGCAAATATGATAAGGCTTTGAAATCCAGGGTAAGCAGCCTTTCTTTCATTCTAAATAAAAGCCAGTAGTGGGGAGGAGGGCTGCTAGTTGTATGCTAGACCGATGAATCGTTTTTAAAAACATATTACTGTAGATTAATCCAATAACTATTAAACGAGACTGAACATCACTTTGTTTTTTTTATAACAGTTCGTTGTGCGAGGAACACCCCTGCCTTTCTAGCTGAAAGATTGCACCAAGCCTTGAAGGTTGGTCTGGAAATTTCATATGCATTCTTAGCGGCCCCAAAGGAGAATGTTAAAATGTTGCTTACTAGTGATGGAATGTCAGAGCTCTCTTCCACTTTAGCCAGTTCTCTTTATTAGCTAATCTGTCTACTGATCTGTAAGCAGTCAGTTTAGAGACAGAGTTCAGCGGGGACTAAGTTCTGTAGAACACTAACCTCGCCCTCCACATAGTAGATCCTGCTCAAGCTGCTGTGCTCAAAATCCGCCACGCTGAGTGGGCAGCCCTTCCGCCCTGTTGCAACCCCGTGTTTCCTTGTCTGTCTTCACTGCCGGAGGGTGAGCACCGCGAGTGAGCGCGCGGGCTCTGGTGTATGCCCAGGCCCTAGAGAGAGGCTTGCACAGGGAAGATGCTTACCTTGCGTTCACTGGACATGGCCTCTGGTCCCACACGCGTCTTCAGAGTTGTATCCAGAGTGAACACTTCGTCTCCCTCAGCCCAGCCCCGACCCCGGCTCCCTCTCCTCCAGCTCCCTCTCCGTGTTCCATCGTCTCAGAGGGAAGGTGCACCAGAAACTGGCCTTGCCCAACTCTCAGAAGGCGTGTGGCTTCTGCCAGCCTTGCCGCTGTGCTCAGCCCCTCAGCCTCCTTCCTCCCCTTGACTCTGCGAGATCCGTTCCCACTACAGTCTTACAGGTGTTGCCCTCTCTGCCTGGAACGTTCCTCCTCCTCCTCCTCTGTCTGTGGCTGACTCCTCATGCTGCGGGTTCGGTTCCCAGGGAGGTCCCCTCCGCCTACACGGGCCGGGTGGTTCCCTCAGTCACTCTCCCTTCCATGTCCTTGCTTTATTTTCTTCGCTGGTTACTTTACTGTCTGCGTCCCCAGGTAGAACACGCTGTGTGTGGACAGAGATACCGTCTGTGCTGTCTGCCCTGGGCACAGTGAGCAGCGCCTGGCGGGAGGGGCTGCCCAGTAAGCTTCTGTCGGGTGAACAGACAGACGGCAGAGTCAACGTCCACCTAACTGCCCCTCCAGAATTCTACACAGGCCTCCCCTCCCTATCTCCACGTGATACATTTTGTCGGTCCACCTAGGTAAACATCATCTCTCCAATCTCTTTCTCTCCATCCCTACTGCTGTTATTCTGGTTCATGCCATCTTCATCGCTTTCCTTTCTCACTACAATCAGCTCTGGATGGTCGCAAAGCCTCTACTTTTTTTTTTTTTTTTTGCGCAGTTTTTGGCCGGGGCCAGGTTTGAACCCGCCACCTCCACCTCCAGTATATGGGGCCACCACCCTTCTCCTTTGAGCCACTGGCGCCACCCACCAAGCTTCTACTCTTATTCCCTTATCTTCATGCTCCTCCCACCCTGCAATCTGTTTGTCATATTGCAGTCAAAGTGATTTTATGAAACCATAATTCTGATCTGGTCTCAGCGTTCTCATGCTTAAAACATTGCAGTTGTTCTCTACTCTTGGGGAAAGGTCAGAATTTCATTTCCTGGTTAACAAGGCCTGGCCTTCCCAGGTACGCCTCTTGCTATATTCCTCTGTAGTATTTATGCCTCCTCGAATGTGGCGCTGTAAACCTTCCCCCATGCTGTTCCTCTGCTGGAACATTCTATCCTCTGTGAGATCCCACTCCTTCCTGTGGTTGCCTGTGTAGGTCTCAGCTTAGATACCACTTTCTTAGATCTTCTCTATCTTACTTTGGCCCCATCATGTGCCCCTCGCATGTGTTGTAACAGAACAGCTGAGGCTGGGAAACTTACAGAGAAAAGAGGTTTATTTGGCTCATGGTTCTGCTGTATGAGAAGCACCATGCAGCATCTGCTTCTGGCCAGGGCTTCAGGGAGCTTCTGGTCAGGGCAGAAGGAGAAGCAGGCCTGTCACATGGAGAGAAGGCGGAAGAGAGGGCAGTGGTGGTGGCACCAGGCTCCCCTAAACAACCAGCTTTCTAACTAATGAAATGAGAACACACTTGGTATTTTCTCGGGAAAGGGCACCACCAAGCCATTCATGACCAAATGCCTTCCACCAACACTGGGATCATAGAGGAGCCACACATCGGAACCACATCACAACTCGGTATCCCCACGGGTCAGACTGCTTTGCTGTGTTCTACTTTCTTGCCTGTATCCTTCATGAAATTGGAACCTTAACAGGGGCCTTTCGTCTCTATTTTCCAGAATTTAGCATGAGACTGGCACAGAGTAGGTGCTCAAGAAATATTTCTTTAATGATAAATGGTGAGGCTCAGCACCTGTGGCTCAAGCAGCTAAGGCGCCAGCCACATACACCAGAGCTGGTGGGTTTGAATCCAGCCGGGGCCGCCAAACAACAATGATGGCTGCAACCAAAAAATAGCCGGGTGTTGTGGCAGGCACCTGTGGTCCCAGCTACTTGG